GTTATTAGACAGGTGATCAAATGAAATCCGAACACAGCTCTTCGAGCGCCATTCGTGGCATCACTTTCAAGTTCATATGTCACTTCACCAGCGTGAGCACGGTAAACCCTCAGTTCGCCGAGGCTCGGGCTATGCTGGTTGATTCACCGATGAAGGCTCTCCCAGCGCCGATGATTACCGTGCTACGTGAGTGGTTCAATTTTAAGAAAGTGAACGTTGCAGGCGAGAGGAGTGTTAGAACAAATTGAACTATTCTTGGCCTATTACGCCCGTGGTTTAATTTTAAGAAAGGTAACGTTGCAGGCGAGAGGAGTGTTAGAACAAATTAAACTATTATTGGGCTATTACGCCTGCAGCTCGCTGCACACGAGACGCTACAGGATCGAGGAGGCTTAAGAATGATTAATAGCTGAAGTTTGATGCTGTGCCGAAACTTATTTCATAATGCTAACTCACTTCCCTTCTTACCAAGTTCGTAGCAAGTGTTTTTATCCAGTCTAACATTAGTCGCATTATTTGGGGTAGTTTGCCGAGCTAGATTCACCTTTTTAACTGCACTAAATACAAGAACTGCAGTTATTTCGGTATTTTGGCAAAAAATCACGCCTCCAAGCTCGGCAAATTGGCCAATAAGCGCAGCTAATCAGGACAAATTTCATGGTGGTTGCCATTCTTAACGAACTGACGAAGCTGCTGAAACACCGCATGGTACAAAGTATAAGAGTTAAGGCGTACATTTGCGTTTTCAATTGGCAAAAGGCGCTCGTTCCTAGCTGTTGGTACGTAATGATCTTTAACACAGCTAGGAGTGTCTACCGATGCAGTTTAGCGCGAATTGGCGCTCTAAAAAGAAGTGTGAGCGCCTCATGTTCCTCATATTAAAGTTGGCTCGGAAACCCGGACTTCATGTAGTTCGCTTCGGAGGCGTAATCTACACACAAAAATTAGTTCTAGGTAAAATGACAAGTATAGTACCTACTGCTTGTAATGTCTGTTGGCAGTGACCTGCGAGTGGCTAAATGCGATGTTGTTTTACGATAGAATGATGTCAAACGGTAGTCAGACTCTAGTGACCGCATACTATCAACGTAGCTGCTTTCAAGTTACCTTAACGTTGTCAGGAAAGCCTTGGAAAGAGAGTCAATGTGCGTTTACGAGCTAACTTCTATATGAAGCGCTCAGGGCGCTCATTCTTCATCTAGTGCACCGAATTACGTTTAGCTGCATCGGTTAGTGCGCCTAGCTTTGAGCAAGACTTCTGCACGAGAACAGCTTGGAACAAACGTCTACAGCCGTTAAAAAACGTAAAATCGTATTTGTTCTTATAGTTAGTGCCATGTCGCGAAACCCGGGGTTTTCTTCCGATGAGGAAAGTTTATTAACGAAAGAAAAGCAAGCAAACAAACTCGCTGACCTGAACTAACTCTCCTTGTGTCTTCATCCAGGCTCAACGATTATGCAGTCGAGGACACGTGCCCGCGCGCACTCGTCATTCATGCAGCGTGCTCCAAGTCCAATGCAGCGCAGTGGCGTAAGCCTCCTCTTCATCGAAAGGCACTATGACGCGTGCCTTACAGCTTTCACTCTCGCCATTGGTTCATGCCAGCACGCTGTCGTGACCATAGCTTGATCAACGGCCGCAATCCGGCTGACAGTGCCTCTCAAAGCTTGGACACGATAGGAACATTTAACTAGTCGAGCTGTCCGCGGATTTCATCATCTTCAGGCGTAGTAGCGACGTAGTTGCGCACTTTAACAGGTACATCCTGAACAAGCGTAACGAGCGGCTTTCACGAGTTTTCAATCGCCTGAAGCCCGACCCAGGCCACCATCAGCTCCCATCGTCCGTATTCGTGATTGAAACGATGATCCACGATTCGTTCGACACCCAGCATCATACCTTGGCTCAAAACGATTTCTATTAGCTCCTCCGTAGTGTTTAGGGCCGAATCAGCATAAAACTTTAGTCTCGAAGCATGCACGTCATAGACACGTCCCGTCACTTAGAGTTTGACTTCGAACGAGCGAGGCAGCGCCTTCACAACCTCGAACGGGCCAACCCATTGGCCTAGAAGCTTGCGATTGGGGAGTCGTTGGTCGATTCTTGACCAAAGCACGAAGTCGCCCACATCAAAGTTCACCGACGTACCTTTGTGAGCGCTCATGTCCTGCAGCCGCTCGCGCTCTTTAGTGTCGTTCACCTCGCGATGTAGGTCATGTAGCGAAACACGTAGACTATCCAGTTTGTCGCTCATATCACCAAGTTCCACGACTCGCTCAACAGAGGTTTCAGTGGCTGGAACAGCCAATACATCCAACGCTGATGAGGCCGGGCAGTCCGGTGAACACTTCGACTGGCGAATGACCTGCAAGTGATCTCACAGGCGTATTATTTAAGTTGGCCTGAATCACCGGCAGTAAGTACGGTCACTCATGGCTATCCAGCGAGTATTCCATCAGGAGTGCTCGTACAACTAGGAGGACATCCTTGTTCAGTCTTTCCACTGCTCCGTTTAACCAGGGGGAGTACACAGGCGTAAAGTACAGCTCCATTTTCAATCGGGTGACCAAGTGCTGCACCATTTCATTACGGAAATGCGTGCCTTGATCTGATAGCAGCGTCTGAGGCAGGCCATACCGGGAATACCACATCAGCAGCGCCTCCGCAGCCACGTATGCCGACGGCGTAGCACACGGAAACAGCTCACAGAAATGCGAAAGTCCGTCCTTGACCACGAGAAGGTAGGTTGAGTCTCCATAGCCATCACCAAGGAAAAGGAAGATCCAGTGGAGCTCGTTTCGCTCCGTAGGTGGAAGTAGCGGTCCATACGGTCGTGGAATAAGTCGAGGTTCTTTAAAATGCTTGCACAGCAGGCACCCCCGGACGAGCTTCGCCACCTTATCCTCTAACTTCGTAATGTAGAATTGAGACTTCAGTACGATATCCATTGCTTCTTGACCACGATGCCCCTGCGCACCACAGAGGACAACCACGAGACTTCTGGCTAATAAATCTTGAGCTTCAGTTGGGATCCATGGACGTTCATCGACAAGCAGTACACCATTCTCTTTCGAGAAATCGACTCGCAGTCGATCTTTCTCTCGTCCATCTACAGACTGCGCAGCCGCGATGTCCGTCCAGGTAGGAAAAACAAAATCAACGTCCATCAGAGGGCGAAGCACCGATAGATCTTCAGGAACGTTCCGTCGATCTCGTGTTTGGACAGTCGCAACCAAAACTTGCTCTTCACCGCGGACGTGCCACCGATACACAATATCGGCCCACACATTAGCATCACCAGAAATGTGCTCAATGCGGTAGTGGAGATCACACAGCCGCATCGCCCACCGCTGCAAACGGTCTCGCACGTGTTTCTTCAAGTCGGCATGCGGAGCAAATATGTAGATCAAATTCGCGTGATCACAAAACAACCGGAAACCTCCCGGTCGCAGCAGTAAGTATTCAAGATCGTTACAGGCCTTCACGATCGGGTACGCCTCCTTTTCCACCACCGTCCAATTAAGTTGTGAGTGCTTGAACGTACCGCCTTTGCAAATGATCAACTGGTGGCTCTAGCGCTCAACTGGGATGCCTGGTTGCCACTGCATGACTTGTGTTACCACGATACCGAACCCGGAAAGCGACGCATCTGTGAAGACGCACAGTTCAGCGTACGGATCATGGTGCGCCATCAGCGCAGAGTCTCTCACCAACGAAAGTACATTCTCATAGGTAGCCTATCCCATGATGAAGCCACTTGTAATGCGTTTCGGTTCCGTCTTCTGATCCGCTTCTTTTCGGCCTCCAACTTGTCATGAAGCGGAGCCACAGTCGTCACTATCCCATGATGTAGCCACTTGTAATGCATTTCGGTTCCGTCTTCCGATCCGCTTCTTTTCGGCCTCCAATTTGCCATGAAGCGGAGCCACAGTGCGTGCGTAGTCCAGAAGTGAGTCATGCAACCAGTTCGTTGCAAATACAAACCGCTGCAGATCTGCCACAGTTGCAGGGAGCGGAAGTTCCACCAAAGCGTCCACGCGCGCATGATCATGGCGAATTCCGTCGCTTGAACATAGTTTGCCACACCACTTGATCTCTAGCTCGAACAGCGACGACTTGAGCATGTTGAGCTTGAAGTTGGCTGCACTGACGATCTCGAAGAACTTTCGAAGCGTCTGTAGGAAGTCATGTATTGTTGGTGCGAATAAAATTACGTCGTCGGCCCACACAAGGGCCGAATGTGGTATTAGCGGGGCTAGTTCGGTCTGGACTTGGCTCTGGAAATGCAAGGCGGAGTCTATCGCTCCTTGGTGGACTCGATCAGGTGTAAATACACCATCGGGCGTAATAAAAGAAAATATCTCTCGACTTTCTTCATGTGGAGGTAATTGCCAGAATCCCTTAGTGAAGTCAAAACGTCCGAAGAACTTCTTACCGTTGAAGGTGTCGGTCGTAGTGGCGACACTAGGCATCGTACCAGTAATGGGGACTGTCATACTGTTGATGACCCTATAGTCAATGGTCACCCGGAACTCGTCCTTGGTCCCCCGCTTGCGCACGGGCACTACAGCACTTGCCCAGCGAGATGGGTTATTCTGCTCTACCAGCCCATTATCAACCAAATATTGCACATAATCACGGATGAACTGGGCTTGCAAAGGCGCATACTTGCGTGGAGGGCTCCTGTAGGGCGTTGCGTCCACCTTCAGCGACACGCGTAGAGGCTCCACATTGGCAGGGGGATCAGGACCAACTGCATCACGCCAGACGTCTGAAAACTCATCCAGCAAGTCACTAACAGTACCGCCATGTTCACTCGGCAGCCCATTGGCCACCGCTCGGTCGAGAAGAGATTCCGGCGAGTCGATTGGTCTATTTAGGCCCGAAAACTCAGCACCTACAGGAAATTCGTCAGGTTGTGCCTCCGGCAGTGGGGATCCAGCCAGTTGAGCGAGCTGTTGCTCCACGTCGATGCCGAGCCCCTTCAGGACATTCCGGCCTAATAGAAACTCATCACCTTCACCAGATAGAACCCAGCACGGTACTGAGCGCAGTGAGACCAACCTGGCCACTGTAGTTAGCTCGAGATCCAATTTCACCTCTTGTTTGAACAATTGGACCCTGCCGTCAGCCATAACAGTTTCAATAGGCGTACTTAGTGAGGTAGTCTCTAGCGTAGATTGCACTGCCAGGAGTAAAGCCATTATTTTCTCCGGAACCACGCTCTTGTCAGCGCCGGTATCGGGTGTATAGGGAACATCTAGGAGCTCGTTGATTCGTACAGAGCCGGCAGGCGTCGCATAGCTGGCGGCCTTTGACCGCACCGGCCCCGAACGCCGCTCTTTAGCCGCGCGAAACTTCTTCACGGCCTCTTCGCGCTGTGCGTCCGTGCCTGTGGGGCAGTCATTAAGCCAGTGTTCTCCCTTGCAGAACAGACAGCCATCACGAGGAGGAGAGCGCGTAGGGCGAGGTCCCGTCGCAGTAGTGGTCGTCGTGGGCGCCGGCGAGAGTGCTGACGTGGGCTTGGTCGGAGCACCACGCTGTGGTTTCTTTTCTGGCTTGATAGTTTTAGAATCCTGCTTTCCCGCATAATCCTGTGAAATTCGATGAAACCGCTGTTGTACCTTTGCATGCTCCAGAATCAGGTCGAAAAGGGCGACATCATCAGATTTGCAGTCACGCCTCTCTAAATCGATACGGCGACCGATCTGAGCCTTGAGGACAGGGGGCTGCAAGTTTTCAACCACTAGTCGGCAACAGGCCTTCATTCTACTCTTGTAGCCTGCGTCCGCTTCATTCTCGTTCCCAATAAGCCCTTGTAGCCCATTGTCCTCCACAATCCCGTTAAAATCTTTATAGTAGCAGAAGATGAGTGCATCGCAGTCATCAATTGTCATGTTCATCCTTAGGCTCGCACGGAACAGCGACGAGACGTCAGGAACGAACTCGTTTTTGAGCTTACGACAGCGTGCTTCGACAACACTCATGATGTCCGCGTCGGTTACCAACGCAATAGGCTTCTTGAGCACGTACTTAGCCAGGTTATTAAGCGTCTGCCGTCTCACCGAGCCCCTGACAGTTGCAACAACATTGTCGTACGTCTCACCCGTGGTGGAGCATCGGTGGCGAATCTTTTCCACGTAACGCTCCCACTCACGATGGCACTCAATCAGAGCAGCGTGCTCCCAGCTGGTCAGCTCTGGAGCCTTAATGACCTCAAAGATCGGTTGAGGGATTGACATCTCTACGTCTCCGTCAGCGTCAACAGGGAAGCCCATCATATTGAAGTTGTTCAAACTTAACACATCAACCGAACTTAAGTCGAGCTTAAGTCAGTCGAAGCCGATCGCACTTGGGCGCGCAATATCCAGTAGCGCGTGGAGGAGATGACGATCTGGACGGTAGACTGCGTCCAGAAAGGTTGATCAACAAACTCACACTTCATAGAGCGCAAAGCTACTTTGTCGCGAGACCCGGGGTTTTCTTCCGATGAGGAAAGTTTATTAACGAAAGAAAAGCAAACAAACAAACTCGCTGACCTGAACTAACTCTCCTTGTGTCTTCATCCAGGCTCAGCGATTATGCAGTCGAGGACACGTGCCCGTGTCCACTCGTCATTCATGCAGCGTGCTCCAAGTCCAATGCAGCGCAGTAGCGTAAGCCTCCTCTTCATCGAAAGGCACTATGACGCGTGCCTTACAGCTTTCACTCTCGCCATTGGTTCATGCCAGCACGCTGTCGTGACCATAGCTTGATCAACGGCCGTAATCCGGCTGACATGCCACCACGCCAGGGCGGTATTTTTCGCCGACGCGTCGATTGGCCAATTTTGATCACATTTGAAGAATTGTGGTGGCCAAAATCTAATAAATGGTATAGTTCCTATACAGTAGCTGGTGCCAGCACTGTATCTAAGAACTTTCAGCGCCGTCGATTTGATACAGCTGTGAGGCTAAAAAAGAAAGTCTAAAAACTTTTGTCGTATTGGTTTGTACACCCACAGTGAGATGGATAAATAATTTCGATCTTAACTAATATCAGGTCAAACTAGTTGTACGACCCAAAACGTTAGCTTCAGAGCACTAGTACATATTATTATTAATGCTTGTAGCAGTAGTACTAACAGGCCTGCGCAAGTAAGAAATGCCCTCAATTTTTAATTAAAACGAGTAAGAGAATGTTGTACTTGCGCAGGCCACTTCTTAATAGCATAAGAAAACTTTCCCAACCAGGCGAAAAGAAGCAGTTTTCGGAGGTCAGACAAATTTAAGCTCGCTTAAAGTCGCTCGTTTCGCTAAGATTTTCTTAAGCGGATAACAGTATGAAAATCTATGCAACGTGGGGGGGTCTGGTACCTTATTATAGGCCTCAGTCGTTGTCGGGGTAGCTAGTCAAATGTTTTCTTGGTTTCAGTTTTTTTCACTGATTAACTTATCGAAATATTTGACCATCCAATGCCAAAAAAGGCTTAATTTACTACGTACCCATATTTCGGTACCATGATTTCTCGTCGTGTAGATTTCCCATGTTAAAGAATTAAGTTCTCAATTAAAACACTTAGTTTGAAACTTTTGGAGTTTATTCTGAAAGAGATTATCCTGCTATATAAATCCCATTCCGTGCAGGTCTGTTCGCCGGTCTATTGAAAGCCACCTTGCTTTTGCTAAAGAATATATCGTATTCTCGTGATATTTTCTTCGTCAGGTCGTCAGAATTAGCTGCTACCTTGAACAGAGTGTTGACATTCTCGGGGGTTTTGCCTTGGCTGAACCACGTCTTAAACTGTGCAGAGCGTAAATCCACAGCTAGCTTCTCCGTCCTTTCAGTCTTGGTGGCCGCCGCAATCATCTTCGCGAGAGTCTCATCACCATATCGATCTTTTAACAGCGCAACCATAATTGCATCTGGATCCTTGTGCGTCCTGGTCACAAAAGAGGCCCACGTATTGATGAACTGACTCTCGAATAGCTGGCTCCCAGGCAAAGTGTCGAGCTTCAGCGTTTTAAAGGCGCTCTCAGCTGATTTACCAGCGTTCTCCCAGTTTGCCAGCTGGATTCCTTCTAGTCTAGTGGCAAGACCTTTCGTGCTGTCGACTTGTTTACCTGCTGCAAACATCTTCGCCAGAATATCGTCGCTGTAGAAGGTTCCCAGTGTTGTGTACATGGCTACATCCGGGTTCTTCGTGTTTGCTTTAGAAACAAATGAAGTCCACTTAGAAAACTGCGGGCTTGCAAAAATTTGTGTATCCATCTGATCAAGCGCCAAAGCTTTGAAAACGTGGCTAGGAGATTCACCACCGCGAGCCCAGTTTTCAAATTGAACTTTTTCCAGTGATGAGGCAAGGGCTCGTGTACTTTCAGCTTGTTTTGCAGCAGCGAACATCTTTACCAGGACGTCATCGCTATGGTATGTTCCCAATACTCTGTAAATGGCCATCTCCGGGTCGCTCGTCTCGGCTTTATTCATATATGACAGCCATTTGGAAAACTGAGGACTGGTAAAGGTGTTTGACCCCATCCGATCGAGTGCCAGAACCTTGAAAACGTATTCAGGGGATTCCCTAGCGTGGACCCAATTTGTGAACTGAAGGCCCTCCAGTTTAGTAGCGAGAACTTTTGTGCTGTCGACCTTCTTGGCTGCATCAAGCAATTTAACTAAAGCTTCGTCGCTGTAATGATATGCCAATGTCGAAAAGATTGCCATGTCGGGGTTTGTCTTACTGTTTGTCCTGACGTAGCTGAGCCACTTGGAAAATCTTGGGCTGCTGAACAGTTGGTCGCCCGTATTGTCAAGTTTCAGCTTCTTGAACATATCATTCGGAGATTTCATTCTCATCTGTGACCACTTTTGTTGGAGTGTCTGAAGCAACGTCGCTGCCCAGGACTGTGTACCACTTACGGCTTGTCCAAGCCATGGAAAGCTTAAAGCAAGTTTTCTCTCTTCGGCAACGGACGTTCGCAAGAAGCGTCGATGAGAAACCTCGGTCAGGTCAGAATTGGCCGCAAAACTCCCTATTCTGACCAGCTTGGACGTCGAAGCTGTGGAGACCACGTTGATGCATGCCAGGATAATTACTGTAGCCAGTATTTTCGTGACGGAGGGCTGGGTCCTCGCAGTTGACATGACAAACTTCCTAGCGTAAAGCTACCGGTAGTCAGTACGTGCAAGAACGCTCGATGGGTGTATGGTGAGGAAATTGATAACTGGGTCGAAGCCATAGCTATGGATATGGCTGGTAACCAGCCATATCCATAACTATGGCTTCTACCAGCCTGGTATTATAGTGCCAAAGCCAGTGACACTGCTGTGAAGCCATGTCTGCTGGGAATACATGTGTTGCAGAAGCATCGTCATCATTGTACTCGTCCCGCAACGTTTTCTGAACACGTACAGTATTCAAAGTACATGCCTGTACCGGCTCATGTATTTTAAGTTTAAAAAAAAACAGTACAGTATAATATACCGTACTGTTTTTTTAGTAGCGTATTCAAAGAACATATTATGTTCTTTGAATACGCTCCTAAATTTACAGAGTTATGACCTTCTTAACTTCACGTTCATGTTTGGTACTACGCGAGTCCATTTAAAACTCTTTTGAGCAGCTCCGTAAACTTTCATAATGTGCTCTAGAGGATCCGCACCAATAGCCATTGCTTGGACTTAGTACTAATTTACATCTTCAATTTTCTTTTTAGCTGTCAAAATGCTAGTTAAGTGTTAAGCTCATAAAAGTTTGTAGCAAATATTGCAGTGGCTCTTCGATGCAGTGTTCTACTGTTGGGTAGCTGACATCTGGACTTCATCAGCACCTCCTACAAGGAAAGGAGCTAGCGCTATCTTCTTCGGCTTTCATTAAAATCTAATAATTTGCTCAGCTGAAAATAGGGTGGAGTTCAAGTTGTCGACCAAGCCTAAGTTCATTGACTCAGCCTTTCAGTGACTGAGACTCTCAGCCTCTCAGTGAGAGGCTGGGTCAGCTTGGACTGAGTCAGTGACTCAGTCTTATATCGTCCTAAAAGCTCAGTCTTATAGGCTCAGCCCGATCCCAGGCCTGTTTAAAATAGATACAGTACATCATGTACTTTAAGCATGTACTGTACAGCCTAATCCGACCAGCAATGTACCTTGAAGAAGTAATGCGTGCCTGCGGCAGCGATTTGTACTGTAAAGAAAGATGCGAGACAAGTGTCGTCTACTTGTAAACGCGCACAATCAGAATACAAGAGTTTAGATAACACAATTCATTTGAATCTACGTGAGACCTGAACGAATTTTTCAACGTCGCAGTCTTTATTGTTTCCACCTTACGAATTCGGCAGAAAAATGTACTGTATATTACAGAGGCTAAGAATCCTGCAAAGGTGCTCAATATCGAAGTAGATTCAAAGAAAATGATAAACATTCAAATCAAGTGCGTTTAAAAGTTAACAAGTTTGTCAAGGATTCCTCCGGTATGAAACAGCCGATCAAACTTCTGTTTCGAACTGTATGAGGAAATCCTTGAAAATGATTACTTGCCAAGCAATCTGCGAAGCCGAAAACATTGCACGATTCTACAAATTGTAGGCTACCGGTACTGTACGGCAGCCCAGCTGCCATGTTTGCGAGAGCCTTCCCCGACCACGTAAACACTTCATGTTCTTAAGTACCGGTACAGTGCTGCACCCCGCTTTCGCGCCCTTGGACCTTTGATAAACGTCTGGATGTGATGATCCTGAATCCAAATGAACGTAACTTTGTAAGCAAAAATCTGATTTATTTGCAAATCCTATATGGTCCACCCCCGCGAAAACGGGGTGCAGTACTGTACTGTGCCTACGATAGGATACCGGTAGGTTACTTACTGTATTGTGCTTTGCAGTCCATCCGTTTAAAACCTATGGTCGGAGCATAAAAAACCACGCGTAAAAATGAGATGGGAAGAGGCAGGCATCGATTTGTTTTATCTGTTACCGAATTACCATTTCAAAACGGCAAAAAGGGCCGATTTACAGGATATCGATGTAGATTTGGAGGTTGGTCCCGAGCGGTCAATAGGGCTCAAAATTACTTACTTGGAATATGACAGAATATTGTTCAATTTCTCAAATTCGTAGCAAATTCGTATTTTAGATTGGTATATCGCTAGATTCAAGGTAGTATTTGGCTTTGATCTGCACTTAGCGAATATGGTAGTCTATCGGAACGAATGCTCCAGTAATTACGCTGACTCGTACTAACTTCACAAATACAACTCCGTATCTTGCTTTTATAGGTGACAATATCACAACTGTGTATCGTCGTCGCTATAGTCTTCTTCAACTCCCATATAAATGGAGCACGAGAGACAAGTCCGCCGACGGTATGCCGTACGAAGCCTTGCCTGTCGATTGGCTTGATAGCGCTTCCGCTTTCGTGTTTGCTTCTCGAGTGTACTTGCTCCAATTTCGCGCAAACGAGTGTCGTACTTGGTGTTGTCATCTCCGTCATCGTTCCGAAGAGGCCTCAATCGAATATTGACATTTGTAAGAGCGACACAAGCCCGAAAGTATAGGTCGTAAGAGGTCTCGTCAAACTTCCACTTGTCGGAACAAATTCCCCACAGAGACTTCAATCTACCGAAGAAATTCTCAACAATGACACGGTCATGCGCGAGCTCGTCGTTAAAGCTGGCGTCCTCGAGCGAGAGCGGCTGCAGACGCCCGCTTTTAATGGGGTGAATTGCTCGGTACTCACGCGCCATACCCTGGTAGCCCTTATCGACTAACACCGCCCATTCTTTCGGATACTTGTCTTGTAGTCTCCCTTCGTCTCGCACATTGGCATCACTAGAGTGTTTGTGAAGAGCTCGCGAATGAAATGCTGCGTTCCTGCGAAAAATCTCAGCGTCATGCGTACTCCCACCGGTGTGCATTGTGCAATTAATCGCGACACCGTTCGGCAGCACCGACACCTCCACTTTGTAGCCATACAAGTGGTGTTTGCCACTGTAATAGCGTAAGCTCTCGCTCATGCTACCACTGGGTTTGTTAGCATGCTGAAAGGTAACGTCCGTAGCATATCGAGCATACGGGAAGTACTTCAACGCATGCCCTGATCGTACAATCTTCCCCAGTGTCCACTGGTCATTCGCATTCTCTACGTACATTTCGTAGAGAATAGAAGACAGTATATCCATAAACTTGCGGATCATTTTCTGAAAGGTGGATGGCGGGATTCTGAAAACTCGAGCAACGGTGTCCCATTTTCCAAGATGTTTGAGCGAACTCAGCGTCATAAAGAAAATGTCGCGCGCAGCGTAGCGGCATTTTTTACCGCGGCCCACGTTCCATTTCCCCTGCAAATGAGGGTACACAGCTGCCCAAACATGGTCGAACTCCTCTGGCGCAAACTTGGTGAGCTTGAGCACCCCATCGGGCCCTTCAGCTTGTAAGCAGAAGTCAAAGGCGGACGGCAAAGCTCCCACGCCGAAGTTGTCCCCTTCGTCATTGTCGTCTCTGCGGCTGTGTACGACGATTTGAGCGACCTTTGCCTTGCGACGTTCCTCCCGCTCAAATAACTCGGCAGTGGAGGCACGAAAGTCGGCCTCGTTGAGCGTCTCAGCGGCGCGGTCTTGGCGGTCTTGGGAGCGTACCATAGTGGCCTAATATTGTAGATAGAAAATTCGAAAATGACCGAGGAGCTGCATTTTACGTCTTGCATTATCTCAGCAAACAGATAGGGCGAATAATGGCTACTATCTCTTCGCATGCAAACTATGAAAATATATAGCGATCAAATCATCAGATGTTTTCTATCCACATGTGTAAACTCCATTCCAAAATTGTACTACAGCGTTCCAGAATTCTAGAATGGTACCGTTACACATACTCTGTATGTACGAATGAGCTCTAATAATTAGTCGATAAATCGACTCGATTTGACTGTCGTATCTCGATTTATCAGCCAGTCTAGCTAGATCGATTTGCATTTTTTTAAAGACCTCGATTTAATAAAACGACCTCTATTTATTAAATATCGAGCATCAGGCGAAGTGAAAAGGATAAAAACATTGAAATGCACAAAACATGTACCGGTTTTTCTCACTTAGGTGCTATTGTACTGACTTTGTGATAACCTCGCGAATTCTTACCCCACTCGAACAGTTGAATGCAGCGTAGAATACAAAAGCTATCCTGGTTGCAGCCACAGAAGCAATAGATTTGTGATCGATGAAGCAGAAACTACTACTGAAGCGGTAAGTTATTCTGTAAAGACGGGCAAAATCATTTTTTTCTTCATGATATCTTTGAGGGTAAGGCGCTGCATTTGCCGGATGAAACTACTTACATGTAGCTTTTCTCCAAATTGTAGAATAATGAGAAAATCGCTTAAAGCAGCTCCATTTTGCGCATATATTCATGATTTTCCGAAGGATAAAATGCAGTTGGTGCAATCAAAAACGTCAATTGTAAAATCAAGTATAAATCCGTGCAATTCCGTCAAGACATACATAATTGGAACGGATTGTCTCACTCTAATAGTTTTTAAAGACACGCAGTTTTTAATTTAATATAGAGATGTCATTTCTTCAAATTACACAGCCAAATTGCTGACTTAAAGAGAGGGCACAGAGCTTTTTGCTGGTGTCTACAACAAAAATGTAATTAAAGTACGACGCTATTGTATCAATTCGTCTCGCCAGTACAATACAAGTACTACTATCCGATTCGCGGCAGTGGCGCATGCATGTTAACTACTGTGGTATGCCTCCGCTCCGTTCCCCACGGGCTCGCTAGGCTACTCGAAGGGCTAGTTGCTACGCTGTGGCTGGGGCGGGTCCTTTGCGACCGCAAGTTGCCGTGATGGGCCACGTCGCTGCGCTCGGCAGCAGATTTTATAGCCAATGAGTGGACCGCCTTCGCAACGCTCGGCAGCATTTTGTCCAGTGAGATCTACGTAATTGTGCTACGGACGGAGTCATCGACAGACAGACATACAGACACGCTAGTAGAGTAGTGTTTTAAACAAACCGAGCGTTGCCGCTTCGTGGCGGTGGGTCAGTGGTGAGTCCCAGCTGTGTACGATGCCCGCCTCCGCTTCGCTCCGGCGGGCTGACGTTTGTGTGTTATATATCATAAAAAAAATTTAAGGAGAAATGTCAC